ACACAAACACACGCACGCACACACACACACACACACACACACTCACGCACGCATGCACACGCACACACACAAACACACACACAAACACAAGCACACAAACACACACGCACGCGCGCGCACACACACACACACACACACACAATCAACACAAGCTAGAGTAAATAATGCAACAGGCTTTATTAGAACAGCATTTATTCCTAATGCTTTTCTTAGAGCAGGTTTATAAAATCTACTGCAAATGATTTTCAGCTCCTAATAACAGCACAGAGACAAAAACGGCCCACAATGCATTTGTCAGCGAGACCGCAGCGCTGAAGTGACAGTTCTGCTGTTGAACTTCTGTTCATACATCTGTCTGTGTTTTGTCTGGTTAGTGACGAATCTGTGAACAATAGACAGCAGAGTTTCCTGCAGCAAAAGAGCTGTCAGCTTTCAGTTTGATTAAACAAAATGAAATAAAAAATGTTTTCACAAACAAACAGAATCAGCATAGTCTGATTCACAAACAAATTACTCGTATGAGCCAATTCTTTCGGATTCACAAACATATGACACTTACGAGTTGATATTTTTCTGATTCGCAAACAAATGACTCTTATGAGCCAATTCTTTCTGATTCAGAAACAAACGACTCTTATGAACCTATTCTTTCTGATTCAGAAACAAACGACTCTTATGAACCAATTCTTTCAGATTCACAAAGATATGACACTTATGAGTTGATTCTTTCTGATTCACAAACAAATGACTCTTGTGAGCTGAATTCTTTCCGATTCTCAAAAAAATAAATTGTATTTTTCTACATTACATATTAGGGATGCACCGATAGGATTTTTTTGGCCGATACCGATTTTAGCAAACAATTATTGGTCGATTCCGATACAGATACCGATATTGGTCAATTGCATAAAGCAGGGCTAAAAAACTAGAAAAAAAAGATTGGTTCACTCCGAGCAGAATAGGTATTTGAACGTTTCTGTTCCTACATTCCTCTGTGAAAACGGTTTGAGTAGAAAACATACCGGTTAATAACGTTATTTTTAAAACTTTTTCTTTGCCAATAATAATAATAATAAAGTACAGCGTTTAATTTACTCAAAAAGAAAGAAAGAGTCTTGATCTCACTTAGTCATAGCCAATACAGCATCATCTTTCTAGATTTACCAAAGGCCAAATGTATTAAACAAAAGAAAAAACTGTCAACGCATTAAAAACATTAAAGTGTTTTTTTTTTCAAGATATTTAAAAATGTTTCAGCATGGATAAAAAAATGCTACTCCTATAAGTGTTAATTTTGAGAGGAAAAAAACAGCCTAAATTAGTAGGCTGTACGTTGCATTTTATTATTACATTCAGAAATAATATAGGCTAAAATACTGGTAAATTAAAGCTAAATTACAAACACAATTAGGCTATTTTAGTTCCCTTCTCTCCACAACAAATCCTCTAAAGTTGTGATAAATATAAACGTTTTTCTTTCGTTTTGTTAATCTGTTAATGATTTAAGTGAAATATATTTTGTCTATAGGCCTATACATTCCTTTTTATGTAGCCTATATAGCTTTATTCTGTTTTCTCCGTTCACAGAAACGCTGCAGGTGCGTGACGTGAGCTTGTGTGAATCCGTGTTCTACACTGGTTTCAAACAAAAAGCTGCATATTACCTGCCATTAATTTTCACTTAAATGTAGGTCTAATGCTTGGCGGTTCGTGACATATCCTCGGATAATCTCTAACACCGGGGCATTGCCATTGCGACTTACCTATGATGAATTTACAGCTGAGCGCGGGCATTTCACTCATTGGATGCATCAGCGTCACGTTTGCATAGGCCGTATGATTATTTTTAATGAAGAAATTTAACTATTATTATATTGGCTGAAAATTATTTTTTAAAAAATCTGATTTATGGAGATGGACTGATAAAAAGAATATATTAGAATATATATATATATATATATATATATATACAGACTTACATTGTTTTGGATTACAGATTTTGGATTTCTCTTTTTAATCACTCTATAAATTGAAAATACTGTCAAATGACAGAAGGAAAAAAAATCAATTTTAACCATATTTTTAGAAGTAAAATGTTATATAAATTTAGGCATATGATATATAATCAATTTGTGACCCTGGAGCACAAAAGCAGTGTTAAGTCGCTGGGGTATATTTGTAGCAAATATTGTCCTATCATAACAAAGCTTATTTATTCTGGGTCACATATTTATTCATGTCATGCATTTGGTGCTGCTGTCTGACCTCGGTTTCGTAAGGCTTGTCTCCACAGGATCTTGCCGATGACGGAGGTCCAGGCGTTCTTCACCTCTCCAGAAGAGGCCTGCAGGATGAAGGTGTCCTGTGATTTCCTCCGGCGAAACCAGATCTCGAAGCGCAGCCCGCTGTCTCCCACGCTCTCCGTCATCCCGATCTCAGCCGTCTGAGACGAGACCAAACACTCTTCATCTCACAAAACTCACTCTGCAGGCTGACACCAGACTCGTATTCTGTACCTTGAAGGACTGTTTGTAGATGTAGATGTCGTATCCTCCTTCAATCTTCTTGGTCTTGCTGAAGAGGATGAGATCCTCGAAAAGGAAAACGTGGCGCAGGTATTTTTTGCGTCCGCACCAAACGATGAACTCGTCCTGACAGCGAAGCTGACCCTGCTCCTTCAGATTGACCTGAGACAAACACAACACTGTGTATAAGTCTCTATCAAATCATGTCAACAGATGACCAAACTGCTAATATAAGCTAATTCAAATTCTCTGTGGAATTTTTGTGAAATACAGTAAAAATATTTGGATTACAGTAAGAATCATCAATAAAAATAATAGGAATAGTGAAAGAGATTTAATGATAACACCAAAAAATAAATATTTGATTAAAACTTAAATAAAAATAAATAATATTTTAAATTAATACTGTATTTTAATTATTAAATAACTATTTATTAAAAAAATTATATTTTTAAATAAAATTATTTTTATTATTTAATTACTAAATACTTTTTTTTAAAATTTACATTAAATATGATTTAATCAAATAAATAAATAAATAAACAATTATTTATTTAAATCAAACTTTCTCAAAAAAATTATTATAATAAACATTTTAAAATAATTATTTTACTTATTGCTATTTATTCAAATAAATAAATAAAAATACA